GTTTGTTAAAAAAAATCCACCACGAGATTACCTACATTCACCTTTATTTATCCCCTTACATTGTGCCCAAGCTGGGATAGTGCAGAACAGGCAAAGTTTGGGGCAGAATTAAAGCACTGCATTTTTTTTTTAATTAGTTGCTTCTGGAATCCTTAGAAAAGTGATGTAAAATTAGAATAGGCTCTTAGAAATTAAAGAAACTAGATCTCAGATATATATTTGAATTCTACTTAAAAAAATAAACACAATATTCTGATGGAATCTGTATCAGCCCAATGCCATTTGTACTGCCAAAGTCAACCTTATTTCCCACAGGAAGCAACTCATTAAGAAATGATGGATGGTTAAAATCTTCCATTTTACTGGAGAGAACTATAATCCCGTGGCAGTAGATGTCCGGGGAAGTTTTGCAGTGCCAGTGTGAGCAGGGAGAGTTTAGAACTCGTCCTTGGGCCCTGGACCCTTTGCTCCGTGCCCTGTGTCACACTGCCCTCAAGAGGTGGGACACGCCTCAGCCTCAGGCTCTGAACTGTCACAGATTCCTGCTCTGGGCATTCGCCTCCTTTTAAATTCTTTGTCCTTCACCTCGGAGATCTCGCACTTTAGAGAAGAATCTTGAACCTTGTAAAGAGCTGCTGGTGTTCTTATGATCAAACACTGAAAAAGTGTGTGAGCTTTATTTTCAGAGGCCATACAGTAAACGGAAATATATTTGTTGTGAGACAACACGTCAGCAGAAACGTGCTTGATGTATTTAATGAGCTCTAGTGTAGTTTCATACACAGCTGCCTGCAGCTAAGCTTCTGTCCACTGCAGATGGCAGAAAAGTCACAGAACTGCTTGGCCAACTTCAGTAGAGCTTTTATTAAGCTGAGACCTTAAGTGTTACAACTTACCTATATTCTGATGCTTTCTGTTGATATTTTGCCTACCAGCATCTGCCTCAGAGTTTCACCTGCACCAAGTAAAGGACTCACTTCTTTGTTCTGGGCTTCTGTGGTCTCCATTACTATTGCCGTCATACCTGAATGTTTCAGTGTCATACCTTTGGGAAATCAGAGGTGCAATCCCAATGTATCAAGTTGCTGCTAGGTCTGGATTGGCATGTAGTGTGTTCAGAGTGGTCACTGTGAGAGGCTGTTGGGAACTTAGCTGCCACCTGGGGTTAAACCCAGTCTCGGAGCAAAAGGTTTGCTAATATTCATTTCACCTGAGTGCTCAGAGCAGTGGCCAATGTCCCTCATTCTGAATGAGAAGAAACATGCCATGGGAGATGATATTCTTTCTATCTTTATGCATCTAATCTAGAAGAAGAGGATGGATGTGTATCCATAGAGATAGGAAAAGTCCAATGTGTGTGCTCTGAATAGAGCTGGACTCTTTTCACACCTGTAGCTGAGAAGGACATGAGTCTTCAAACAAGCAAACTGGCCTGCTTTGTAAAGAAATTGGTTTAAATAGTCTGCCAGGTGATACACTAGAACTGTCTGGCAAAGACTGAACTACAATTCTTCAGGTCAGCATTCATTCCACTTCTGCAGCATCATCCCTTCTTCGTTCCACGCTCTCCAATTTCCACAGCAAATGTGGAAGTCAGCTGAGGCAACAATCTGCTTCACTTGATCACTGAGAGATGTTCATCTAGTGGCTTCTAAGGAAGCCAAGAGCACAAGGAAAAATGTTGCTACTGCATCATTAGATCATATGATAATACATACTCATGGCAGGTAATGTTTCCAATGTTTTCAAATATTTAACACCACCAGTTTTATTTCTGAGGAATACAGCAGAACAGAAGAACTCTCCATGCAAACTTCCCCTCTCCCACTGTAAATTGTTAGTATATATGCAAGATACCAATTCAGGACCAGATTCTAAGCTCAAATGCTCTCAGGTGAAGCCTATAGCATAGATGGATGACTACATATATCCCAGAACAGGATGTTGTGTGAAATATCTCTGTTGTAGTAGAGATAATGATATGCTATATTAAACAGAAATTTCTAAAATACAGTGCTAAATCATAAGCTCCTGTTCTGCACTGATGGAACCCATTATAAGCATGCCTGTAGGATTTATATTAACTACCATCTAAAGTACTCTGATCTGAGGAAGGGTGCGAGCAAGAGGAGAGGCTCTGGTTCCAAATCAAGTGATTTGTACTAAAGAAATCTTACTGAAAAAGCTAACCAAAAAGGAAAAACATACCCAGAGCTCCTACTCCACTCTTCCTCTGCACTCAACATGTACACCTCACTGCAAGCCACTGAAAACTACCCTTGTTTACTGTAAGCAAAGCTTCTGAGTGTTGAGAGTTGCATTAGTGATCAATTATTTTTCAACAGGCAAAGAGGCTGCATTACAAGCATGCTTATGCTGGTCCTTATGCATCATCACATATGTGATAACTGCTATGACTCCCTAACAGATAAAATCATCCTAACTTCAGTACTTATCTTGGCAGCTAGAGATAAAAACACTTAAAGGCTACCACATTTTTCCGTGGGCATGGCAACTAAAACAAAGAAATGAGCACATTTTTGCACAGTATTACACTGTTCAAAGATGCAGTGAATGGCTGTCAACCCACAAATGAAAAAAGAAAGAAAACTCCATTATTATCTTGCAAAGGAAGAAGGCGTAAAGTCAGTAACAGCAGTGCTAAAGTGAAAGTAGACAACCAAAAGGATATAAATGTGTTTATTTTAACATATTTCAATTTAATCTTGTTAATATATTGCTTCCTTACTTTGAAAGACAAACATAATCCACACAGAGGTAAGAACTGACTGTTTTGGTTAAATTCTGGTTTATACTGCTTGGAGAAGGCCAAGTGATGCAGGTGCAAGGGGAAAGTGAGAAGAGCAGATCTAGTTGAGGTTTCTTACTCATTGTTTGTGTGTAAGGATGGGTGGGGATTAAATGTATGCATTTGTTAGAAAAGACAGCAACTGCAGTCAAACTGCTGTTTTAATGTGTTGTCTTCATTATACATTGCAGCAGAGGGTGCACAATAAACAAAAAGACCTTTGGCTAATGTAAAGCATGCTAACAGGACCACCTTTTTAAAAGCTCCTTAAACCAGTAATTCTTAGATGTATATCAAAGGTTTGTATGTTGTATGAAGCAAATTTAAATAATGTTTTCCCAGTTGATTTTTTTTCTCTATTTGTATTTGCTTCTTCAAAAATTATACAAATTTCTAGATATAAATTTTATATAAAATTTTATATAAATATAAATATAAATTTATAAATATAATAATAAAGATATTTAAAATTTATATAAAATATTATATAAATTTTTATACAGGTTATATATAATAGAACCTGTAAAGTATATGATGGGAATGTTAATTACCTAATAGATCAAATTTTACAAGTTTGAAGGATGGGGGTATGTGAGGAAGATCTATGGTTTTGTGTCAGGGTAACATTTGAAGCCATTTAATTCACAGTTTGGTATCAATGACCTAATGCTGCTTCTAGCTACACAGCTAGAAATGCAAACTAATTTCATAGAGTGTAGTCCAAGTAGTTTCTGATGCTGTGAAGCATTGGGTATTTCATGCTCTGAATCCCCCCCCCCTCTTGTGTAAACAGGGTGAAAAAGAACAAAGGGTAAAGAACGACATTTTGTCAAGGAGATTAGTGACCACCAAGACATCTTTAATATGAATATTTAAAGTATCTCATCTGAAAATCCATACAGAACTGTCAGTTTCTAAAGTATTCCTCCATGAAATAGTGCAGAACCACATATAATAGACTGAGGTAGATGCTTTCTGTGTCTAAACAAAAGTCACACAACAGGCAAAACCAGTGGCAAAACTGCATTTCTCACATTAAGGTAAGGGTCAAAAACTCCTAATATGCAATGGTTGTTACAGTTCCTTAGACTAAAAAATCCCCACTTTTATGCTGGTGGACTTTATTTGCCCTATTTGAAAAGGAACTGTATATTAGTATTGCAAATGGCTGTGTGAGAACTGCTGAGTTATTCTGCATTGTCTGGTAAAGCTGTTACGCAACATCTGTACTTTTATTGCCACTTGAATATTAGTCATAGAGTATGAAATTCAGTAACAAGCTAAATTTGAGGCCATGTAGCTCTTGGAAAAAGTCCTGGCACAAGCCTCAGGCCACGCATCTCACAGAACAGAGCACTGGAGGACAGGCTGGACACGAGCTGGCGGTCAGTGCAGGCAGCCCAGAGAGCCAGCCTGGGCTGCAGGGAAGGGGGATCCTGCCCATCAGTGAGAGCCCAGCTGCAGGGCTGCCTCCTCCTCAGGAAGGACGGGGAGCGGCTGGAGCGAGGCCGGAGGAGGCCACCGAGCTGACCAGAGGGGTGGAGCAGCCCTGCCGTGAGGAAAGGCCGAAGAATTTCGGGGATTGCTCAGCCAGAAGACAACATTCAGGGTGACCTGACTCTGGTCTTCCAGCACCTGAAGGGAACCTACAGGAAACATGGGGCATGAGCATGAAGTGATAGAGGACAAGTGGGAACGGGTTCAGATTGAAAGAGAGCAGGTTTAGATTAGCTATTAGAATGTTCTTCACTGTGAGAGTGGTGAAGCACAGGTTGCCCAGAGAAGCTGTGGATGCCCCATCCCTGGAAGTGTTCAAGGCCAGGTTCGATGGGGCCTGGAGCAATGTGTTCCAGTGGAAGTGGTTGGAAGGGGATGCTCTTCAAGGTCCTTCCACCCCTCAGCCCTGCCCGGGCTCCGGAGGCCGCTGTGTGCCGGGCCGGGCCGGGCAATCTGTTCCAGTGGAAGGGATTGCAAGGGGATGCTCTTCAAGGTCCTTCCACCCCTCAGCCCTGCCCGGGCTCCGCAGGCCGCTGTGCGCCGGGCCGGGCCGGGCCGCGCCGCTGCCCTGGGGCGGCCGGCTGCCTGCAAAGCCCGGCGGGTGGGGAGCGGCGCGGAGCGGACGGGAGAGAGGGCGGCTGTCCGCAAAGCCCGGCCCGGCCGCGCGCGGCGCGGAGCGGGAGGCCGTCCTTAAGATGGCTGTTGTGCGCGGGACGCCGCCGCTGTAGCGCCGCGAGGAGCCGCCCGCCCGCCCCGCTCCGCCGCGCCCGCCATGGAGTGCCCGCACCTCGGCTCCAGCGTCTGCATCGCGCCCGACTCGGCCAAGTTCCCGCAGGGCTCGCCCTCCTCCTGGTGCTGCAGCGGTGAGTGCGGCCTGCGCTGCGCGGCCCTGCCGGCCCGAGGTGGCCCGGCCGTTCCTTTGTCCTCGCTGCCCGGCGGCGGGAGGGCGCCCCGCGGGCGGGGGAGGGCTCGGGGGCGCGGGGGAGGGCGGCAGCCCCGGCCCCCACCCGGCGGGGCCGCCCCGCGGGACCCTCTGAAGGGGGCTGCGCCTTCCAGCCGCCGCTGCGCCCGCGGGGGAGCCGCCTGTCGAGGCAGGAGCGGGGGCTGCTCTCCGGCCCCCGGCCCTGCCTCGGGCTACCAGCGCGGTACCGTCCGGCCCGGGTGGGCAGCGGACTTTGTCCCGCCGGACCAATGTCGGACACCGCGGAGCTCTGCGGGGCCGCGCTCCGCGCTCCTTTTGTCTGCCGGAGGAGCTGCGTGCTCGGTTCTGTCCCGGGACCGCGGCTGAGGGGAGAGGAGCCGCTGGCAACTGCAGGGTCAGTGTGTTCTTCAAATTGGTCTGAGACTACTTTCCTTTTTTTTTTTTTTTTTTTTTTTTTTTTTTTTTTTTCAAATACATGTTTTTGGAAGGACTTTAGAGAGTGTAGTTTTAATAAGACTGTTGCGGCTTTAGGCGTCGCTTGGGACCCCCCTTCAGGCCCCGGAGCATCTCAGTGAAGGTGAAGGTCTGTGGGGTTTGGGAGTCACGCTCACCTGCCTGTGAGTCGGCAGGAGTGAAGAGGTCGGGTTTTTTTTAGTATTTTGCTCATTGATTTAACAATGCAAATAATCCTGCCATCACTACTGTCCCTCATATGATCTTGTTTGTTCAGAGGCATTCCCTTTAAACGTGCCGTGCGCCAGGTGTTTTACATTTGGCTTTCTCCGCAGATGACCCCCGATGTTCGCTGTCGCTGTTTGTTCGCTGTAGTTGTGTTCAGTTGTGCTCCGTGCGAAAGCGGACGCAGCTCTGTCGGTTCCAGTGGGAAGTAGGCCCTGCCTAGAGCAGCGGCGAGACTTGTGCCTGTGGGCACTGGAGAGAAAGAGAGAAATGCTCCTTTGGGAATGACCGACCAGGGAGCACTGAAGGGCTGGGTGTATTTTAAGGTGTTCCTTTTTTTTTAAAGGAAAGATGGTTTTCCTTTGTCTCGTAGTGTCAGTGCCTTGGTGTGGGAAGGCTGCTGCTTACTTAACTTGTTCCTGATTGCAGTTTCCGGGAGCCAAGGTGTGGTAGTGTTTCTGCTTCCTTTCGCAAAACCAGTTATTTTTCTCTGTAATGCTTTTAGAGAATGTACACTTTACGGTGGAGTCATGTGGAGAAATGATTAGAAGGAAAGGAGAAGTACAGGAAAAATTGTTTGGTTTTTTATAAAACAAATGTTTTTTTTATAAAAACAAACAAATTATTGACAAGAAGTTTAACTCTGTAAGTTATCTTCAGAATATCACGGGTAAGCAGTGTTGTCAACGAGAAGCATACAGCAGTAGGGAACCACCCTTCAGAGAACTTAGATAAAAGTACCAAAACTAAAAAGATATTCAGAGGTATTAATATAACTTCATAGCTTAAAATAATAGCCAGTTTATGGAAACCCTCCTATGCATTCTGCTTCTCAGCAAAGAAGTTCAGCACTTAGAACAAATTTTTCTTTGTTGTTCGGAGGAGTTTCTCCCAAACCAGCACTTACAGGGAGAGCCAACTGCTGGGCAATCACCAGAGTTATTTTACAGCACTGAGGCAGGAGGAAGGTGTGAGGGCTTTTTGGGACCTGAATAATGATGGCACCGTATCTAAGGGAGTTTTTTGTTTGTAATGCTTTTTAAGAAAATAAAGATAAATCACACAGTAGTCGCGTAGATAGTTGTAGGAGTCTTAACAATGGCTGGAGGAAAAAGCTAGGTACATTGATTTTAAAGCAGCCCAGTGAAAAAGCAGGCTCTTGTTACTTTAAAGCAAATGAAATTGTGGGGTTTTTAAAAATACCTGTTGTATTTCCACAAGTATACTAAAGCTGTAGTGCCTCAGTTCTCAGTTCCAGCTAGCAGTATGTGATTATTGCTACATTAACTGCTTAATGGTATGTAGAGTGCTGTCTTCTTGTTTGTACTCGTTTTGGTGACTTTTATTTTTTTTAAAGATACGTAATACTGGTTTATGTCAAGTCACACTAGATACTATGTCTTATTTGCTGGAACTTTGTAATATAAAATTAAACAGTCAATGCTGCATGTTAATTAATACCTTGTCAAAATTTAATGCATTTGCTGCTACTTTTGATGCTGTATTGTGTCGTTTTAGTTCTGTTTGGTGGTGGTAGTGTCCCAGTTGTTGAAAAATATTTGGAAGGCAGTTTTCTGCAGTCTGTAATTACAGAGCATCTCTCATCAAGTATGCTGTCTTAAACTAACTCAGAACTTGTCAGTCCTGTTCGTAATTGTTGCTGACCTTCCCAGAAAAGGACAGTGATCCAGGAAACTTTCTGGCAGCCACCTGATGTGCCAGTGATAGCAAAATGTTGCAGAATAGGTTGGAGAGTGAGTTTTAGTTCAGACTGCCAGTGGCTATTTTTGTCATTATCTGAGGTTCTAGAGATTTGTGGAGCTGTAGCTGCCATGCTGAGTGATGTACACTGGTTAAATATCTTTTCCTTGTCTCTCCACAAAAACAATAACTTCACAAGGTAATATGGAGGCACTTTTAAATATTGTTGCTTGATCTTGAATATTGTGTCACTGTGTAGTGGAGGAGTGTTGCATTTGGTGCTGGTATTTGGCAGCCAGCCTTGCTGAAGGCAGCAAGTCAGAGGAGTGTGTGCAGCCTGAGCTGCTCTCCGATGGCCTAAATAAGTTTCCCTTGAAAGCTTCCTGCCAGAGCTGTTTTAGGCCTTGTGATGAAGGAAGATTCTCAAAAAAGCACTGGGAGGAAGCATTGCCAGCAAGGGTGTGATCCAAATATCAACGGGTTTGCTCTCAGTTAATAAGTAATGCATATGTTCATTTTTAAGTGTATCTGCTTTCTGTTATGTTCCTGTTAGGTAGTTTGGAAGTCAGAGAGTTTAGGCCCCCCCATTCAGAAAGTGGTGTACTTTCCCCTGGGTGTTTAATCCTGTCAGGCCTGCTGTGTACAGGAAGCAGTGCAGAAAGCAGCAAAGCAGTATTTGCTTTGAGAAGCTTCAAAATTATCAAAAGAGAGTGCAGAATGTTTTTTGTTGGGGTTAGGTTTTTTTTTTTCCTGCAGATCTATAGGCAGGTTGTTGTTGTTGTAATTGGGCATTTAGGAGGAGATATATGTGCAAAGTAGAAATGTATAGAAACTGAAAATGGCTTTGAATCAGTGCTGTCATGTGAAATAATGTGGGAGATATCTGCTAATCCCAACTGGAGTGCAGTTTTTCCAGGCACTTCAGCGTCTGAAACTTGTGCAGAAGTTGGAGGCAGAGTAGCTGGAGGCGCTGGTGGTTCTGTGTCAGACTGAAGCTGTTGCATTTGTATGATGTGCCACACCTTCAGCACTGTTGTGCAAATCATGTAATTATGAAAAGTACTCTGGAACAGCTCAGATGTGGTATTTCTCAACAGCTTTTCATGGACTCATCAAACCACAGGGAGCCCTGCCCCACCTAAGTGAGATTGCAATCTTCCAAGCACACCTGCGGAAGTCTGGAGCAGTTTTCCAACTTTTTTCGGTGTGGTTGAGGATTCATTAATTGTTCTCACTGGGCTCATTGGTTGTTCAGTGTAGAATTTGAAGTTCTATCTTTAGAAAAACAACTGTGGACTGATAGGATTGCACCTAGGAGAGATTCTGTGATTTTGGGGCTTTTATAAGGGGAATTGCACTTGTAAAGGATGTTTCTGCTTTTCAGGTCACTGTCAGTTGAATGCTTTTTTCCCCTGTTAAAGAACATAATTTTGTTAAGTATTGAAGAGCAGTTCTGGCTGTAGACTGGTGTTTCCTGCAAAAGCTGAATGTATGTGCCTGGCATCAGTTTTTTGCATTCTTTCTGTTGCATAAGAGCTGTAATTGCACCAATGGTCACAAACATATGTTGTGGGATTTAGAAATGGCACTGGGAATATGAAAGCCAGGAGAGCCAGCACCAGCAAGCTTTTTGAGGCCTCATGAACAGTGATTATGCTGAGTTAATGACTTTCTTTGTGTGTGTTTTAAGTTACTAAAATATTTGGTGAATTCAGTTTGTTCAGAATAACCCCAGATATCCCTGGGTGCTTATTTAGATTTGAGATCAAATGTTCTGGGCTGAGCAGAGCTTTCAAGAATATCACTGCACTGGATCAGGCTGCTTTTGATGGGTTATTTTGTTTGCTGCTTCCCTGCCCACCCCTATCAGATTTGATTTTCTCAGTTAAATTAGTCTCACTGTTCTGCTTTCACTGGGGTGGATAATGCCATTCTGCCACACTGTGATTTTTGGCTTTGGACCATTGCAGTCAGTGCCAGAACAAGTGTAGTATAAAAGCACAGGTACAGACTTTACCCTCTTGGCTTTCCTTTCCATCCCAGCTGCTTCTTAGTGTTGCTTCTCCATTTCCATAAGTAATTCTGTCTCTGTCTGCTTTTCCAGTTTTATTACTAGAGGTCCTGATTTCTTCTGTCTTTTCATTATTACTGTAATATAGGAGGAGGGAAGACTTGCTGAAACTGGAGAGGGCTAGGTAGGACCTTATTCCTAAGAAAACTTCAGTTCTCTGCATGCAAACTTAGGGTGAGATCATGGACAGTGTGTGGACCTAATGGTCTGTATTGTGTGTGTGAGGATTATTTGTCACCCTATATCTGGAAAATTAATTGGGCCTGGAAATTACCAGATTTATTCTGAAATTTAAATAACAAAGTAAATATATTTTTAAAATTACCCCTTTTAGTTCAGTAATTTCAATTTCAAAGTTGGGTACTCTTTCACCTTTTCGTTTCTCTGGGTTCCTGCTATGCAGGAATGCTTGTAAGTAACTCTATAGGTTGTAATATCTCCTTAGATTCATTCCCTGGTTGTTGTTTTAAGTTAGCTTGTTACATTTATGT